AACTAGTTTCCTGACTGTCCAGCCAACATGTCCCAAGTCTCTCATGATTAAGTCACATGAAATCTTCTGCTATGATTAATTCTCATTAAGATCTATAAAAAACAGACCTCTCTTTTAACCAGTCACCATTTTCTCCCCTGAAAATGTGCCATTCCACTACTACTTGATAAAGACAGCTTGCTGAGCTGAGGTCCACTCCTGTTTTCAGTTATTTTTGCTTACATGAGCCTACATGCTAACTCTCAGCATGTCTTTGAAACAATTCACACAAGGCCATTCTAACTCAGCTGTGTTTTAAAAATAATAACAGTATTTGGGCTGGGGTTGTGGCTCAGTGGTAAAGCTCTTGCCTAGCATGTGTGAGGCACTGGGTTCAATTCTCAGCCCCACATAAAAATAAACATGAAAAATACAATCTGTTAATAAATGATAACAGTATTTACAATCCTTGAATAAGGAGCTTATTGTTTTCAGGATGTTCTGGTCCTTGTACTGATAGGCTATGATTCTGCCTATCCTGGGAACAGAGGGTTTTTAAAGAGGTGATTCAAAGGCTACTGTCCACATTTACACTGATGTAAATCATTTGTTAATCTGAGAGATAACCATTTCTTAAATCTTCTGGTTCCATTCCCAGAGATCTATTTACTTCATTCCTGTGATTGATGTGTGCTCAAGGACAGATAACTGGGCCTAGGATAGGAAAAGGGTAAATCTGTTTCCCCAAAAGTTAGGAAAGGGAAAAGGGAGAAGAGAAAATAAAAGAAAGTCAGCTTTAAAATAAGCCTCAGTGGAAAAGCAACAAGGGATATATTCAAAACATGGCATGGACCACTGTCACATTCTTTTATCTAGGGCTGAAGAGCACAGGCCTCAAAACTCCTTTACTAATAAGAAAAAGAAAAGGAAGTAAAGAAAAAAGCACAATCTGGGATGATCTGGGATGTATCTGGATGAAAGAGGATCCTTGACTTTACACAAACCAAAATGACCTAGAGTTTCTGTTCAGTAGAAACTTGCACAGTAGGGACTAAAAAATATGATACGATCCTACCATCAGTCAAAAGAGGTTGTGTAGTGATAAACCCAGCCTAATTCCCTCTTAAGACTGGGAACCATCTCGTCACATTTTATTTTGTGAGCCCATTTTGGCTTTACTATAAATTACTGTGATTTCTAAACTTGCTAGGAATGCCTGCCCATGCCTTGAACTCACCCATGCCTCGGTTTCCCTGACCAGATATCAACCCTCTCTGAAACTTTAGTGGTGCTTCATAAATTCTGGCTTTCCCTAGCCAGATAATGACCCTCTTGGAAGCTGTAATGGCGCCTCATCAATTCTGATGTTGGGATCTAAATTTACTCCCTAAGTGCTGGAACATTAAATCTAATATCTGCCTTTGTATTATGCTTGTAAAAATCCTGTTATCTGTAAGTTCTCAAGACACCTCCCCTTTTTGCAACTTTCTGTGCTATAAAGCTACACTCCTAGAGAGCTGGAGGGCTGTCTACTATTCCCACGGATTTTGGCCTGTCAGAATTACAAGCTTGCTTTAATTTGATTTAAATTGGAGTTCATGGTCTTTTCTTTGCATTGTGGTTTAACACTTAGGTGGGATTCTCTAGAAACCTTCCATCTGTCCTAATAAAAACTGAGTTCACAAAGAAGTGAGTTGTCACTCTCCTGAGAGAAAGCACTCTCTCCTGTGAGGGTATTTTCCCCTTCTTTCTCTTCTAATAAATTCTGCTATTCTTTTACTAAGTTTCACGTCTTGCTTGAAATCTTCTAGTGCAAAGACACGAAAGCCAAAGAATACATCTATTTCCAGAAAGATCTTATCTCAGATATCATCTTATCTCCTTATCAGTTGGTTGTGTGGAGGGGAAGTCAGAAAGGAATATACTAAGAGGAAACTATCACAGATAAAAGGGGAATTTTGGTTCAACCAACCTAACAGATTTCTTGCTAAACACAGGCCAAAGTGATCATACATCACCAGAATGTTAAAAGCTAAGAACTTAATTAGATATTGTTAAATTAAGTTTGGCCTCAAACAGCCCATGTGAAGTGGACTGTAGCTTGATGTGTAAGCAATTTGGATCTAACCTTAGCAACGGAGTCACGGAGTCTCAGTGAATCACAGTAATCAACTTTCAACCAGCCACAGGATGCCACCTGATCAGCCCATGCTCATGTGAAGCAGATGATTCAACAACCAAGTGCATATAAGGCAAATGCTAACTGCAGCCAATCAGGATGTTTCTGCATTTCACTTCCTTTTCTTCAGCTAAATAAAAATAAATAAATAAATATAGTGGGCAGACTTGGTTGGGGCACTCTGAATTATAACCTAATGTAATAGGTTCTTTTCTTGATCTATGTGGACCCAGTGAGCACAACCAGAAAGTAATGAATAGAGAAAGCTGGCTCATGTGGTGCATGCCTGTAATCCCAGCAGCTCAGGAGACTGAGGCAGGAGGATTGAAGTTCAATCCTCAGCAATTTAGTGAGATCCTAAGCAATTCAGCAAGACACTGTCCCTAAATAAAATATTAAAAAGGGTTGGGGTTGTGGCCAATGGTTAAGTGCCCCTGGGTTTAATCCCTAGTACCCAAAGAAAAAAATAGAGAAGGATTTGTTACCCTTGGTCATATGCTAGGTGCTAAAATCATCAAATGAAAATAAAAGTTTATGATTAGAACAACAATCTAGCAGCATTGGCAGGCCATCATTAAATGAATTATCAAGAGAAAATAAAAAACAAAAAATCTGCCTTCCTAACAGACACCTTCCTGCGATGGCATGGGGTTGAACAAAAATATAATGCCAAAAAAATTAAAAATTTCATAAGGGTGTCTTATTATTACATTATTCTTTAACCAGTGACTGACAGGTACACTGTACATTAATATCACCTTTGTGCTAACTGATGTTGTGTGATTATGTGCATTTAAACTATACATCAAAATTTGAAGATCACCAAAGTCAGAGACAGGAATTTCTCTGACATAGTGTTTATAGTCATTTTAATGCCAGGATTTTTTTTCATTGCCTTAAGGTAAGGTATATTTGACAGATTCCTGATTTCTTTTAATGACAATAATTTTCAAATGGTAACAGTATTTCTTCTTCTTCTCTTTTATTATTATTTTTTATGTTGCTGGGGATGGAGCCCAAAAGGCATGCTGGTTCTGCTATTTTATTAGAAAAGAAGACTGTACAAAACAAGCCAGATTCAGGAGCACAGGTTTTCTCTCCAATGTGGAAGTTAGAGAGAAAAGAGGGGGGAAATGGTACTCATCAATATAAGATGGAGGACATTAAGGAAGTGGTAGGAGCTTGGGGAAGGTGAGGAGGGAAGCAGTAGGTTCTAGGAAATAAAACTGATCAGTTGTTAAATGCATGTACAAATAGACCACGATATAAGTAATATACACCCATAAAAATTGTCAAAATGGACTATATTTCACTGTGATCATAGACTTGTTATGTGTAATGATCTTGGTCTCTAGCACTGCTCATTTACATATGAGCAGAGAAGGGTGTGAAACACAGATACCAGTAAAGCAAGAGTTCAGAGAAGACTCAGTTTGTCCAGAAAATATTTCTGAAGGTGCGTGGAATTCAAGTATGAATACTTGCTTGTGTTGAACACCTGTTATTTCCTTATTCTAACACTTTTATTCCCAAAGGTGTCCCAGTAATATAGAAGAACCTAATCTAACATGTGTCTCAGAATTCCTCCTCCTAGGCCTCTCAGAGGATCCAGACCTGCAGCCCATACTCTTTGGACTGTTCCTGTCCATGTACCTGGTCACTGTCCTTGGGAACCTGCTCATCATCCTGGTGGTCATCTCTGACCCCCACCTCCACAAGCCCATGTACTTCTTCCTCTCCAACCTGTCCTTGACAGACATCTGTTTCATCTCCACCATGGTCCACAAGATGAATGTGAACATCCAAACTCACAGCAGAGCCATCTCCTACATGGGCTGCCTGACACAGATGTCTCTTTTTGCCAATTTTGTCTGTATGGATGACATGCTTCTGACTGTGATGGTCTATGACCAGTTTGTGGCCATCTGTCACCCCCTGCGATACCCAGTCATTATGAACCCTCATCTCTGTGGCTTCTTAGTCATGTTATATTTATTAATTAGCGTTTTCAACTCCCTGCTGCACAGTTTGATTATACTACAGTTTGCCTACTTCAAGGATGTGGAAATTTCTAACTTCTTCTGTGACCCTTCACAACTCCTCAATCTTGCCTGTTCTGATACTTTTACCAATAACATAGTCATTTATGTTATAGGTGGCATATTTGGCTTTCTTCCCATCTCAGGGGTCCTTTTCTCTTATTATAAAATTGTTTACTCCATTCTGAGGATCCCATCCTCAGCAGGGAAGTACAAAGCCTTCTCCACCTGTGGGTCTCACCTGGAAGTTGTTTGTCTATTTTGTGGACCAGGTATTTTAGAGTACCTTGGCACAGCTGTCTCACATTCTCCCAGGAAGAGTGCAGTGGCCTCAGTGATGTACACTATGGTCAGCCCCATGCTGAACCCCTTCATCTATAGCCTGAGGAACAGGGACATTAAAAGTGCCCTGAGGTGGCTGCACAGCAGGATGGCCTAATTTTTCTTTGTTTCATCTTTTCTTGGAGTGTGGATTCTAAACCAGGACACCCCTGGTTACTGTGTTCATATCAGTCCTCAGTAGCAAGTCCGAGCCTTGATTGTGCCCCCAGCAGGGGAGGCTTCTCACATCTGCAGTCCTTAGTCATGACCAAGCAGGTAGTCAGCGAAACCAAGAGTGTGCTGATGGAGAAAGGATGGGAGGAGGGATCCACATAGCACTTATTCATTATCTACAACATAAAATTTAAATATGTTTGTTATCATTTCACTAATTTTTTGGATACCAGGGATTGAACCCAGGGGCGCTCAATCATGGATCCACACCCTCAGCCCTTTTTATTTTTTTTATATTGAGACAGGGTCTCACTAAGTTGCTCAGGGCTTCACTAAATTCCCAAGGCTGGCTTTGAACTTGCCATCATCCTGCCTCAGCCTCCAGAGCTGCTGGGATCACAGGTGTGTGTCACCACGCCCGGAGTCATGCATGGTGTTGGTGTTATCTCTGGATTTCTTCCTATGTCAGGGAGCTTTTTCTGTTACTATAAAATTGTTTCTTCATTCTGAGAGTCCAATCTAGAGTTGGGCTATCAAGCCTTCTCCACCTGTGGTCTCACCTGTAAGGTGTTGCATATTTTATGGAACCAGATTTGGAGTACATGTTGGTATCCCATTCCCCCACAACTCCAGACCTCAGTGACATGCACTGCATTCATCTCCATGCTGGGTCCTGAGGACACAGAGCAGAACAGTCCAATCTCAGGACCTGCAGCATATAGTTAGAAGGTAGGCTAGAAAAACTGCAGCAAAAGCTAGCCTCTACAAATGTATTCCTTCTCCCTCTTTACATTATTTTTGTAGACCACATATATGCTCTGATGTTTGATAATAGTGTTGCATTAGCCAGGGTCAGAATCAGGATAAGTATGTAGTTGTGAGAATGGGTATAAATTTTCAGTTTAACAAGATGAAAATTTTCTGGAAATGGTCGATGGTAATGGTTAAACAACAAAGGGAATGTAATTGATACTACTGAACTATGCACATAAAATAGGCAAAAATGGAAGTCGCTGTTTCCTGTATATTTTATCACAAGAAATAGAATTAGGCACAAATGGGTCATTCAAAACAAGGAAAAGAAACAAATTGAGTGAACAATACCCCAGAGCTTCCTTGAGTAGAGGAAGAGACCATAACCTTGGGGATATTTATTTTCTCTTCTTCTTTTTCTACCTCTACACATGTGAAGAAGTCCTTAGAGATTAGGATAACAGAACACCTTGGCTAATTACAAGCTCTATGCATGGATCCTCCAAGATTAATAAAATGAATCAGCCTGTGTCTCTAGCACTTGAGTTTGGTAGTTCAGAGGGCTCCATACATGGTCTCCTCCTCCCAGGGTTGTCTATAGCAGGAAGCTCCTACCTGACCCTGTGTGCCTATCAGTCCTGAGGTTTGACTGAGCCTTCACGGGCACCTGATTAGGGTGTAACTTTGGATCCTCATTCTTTGTTCATGAGCCAGCCGAGAAGAAACTTAACCAGTATGTCTGAGGGAGACATTGGATAGGAAAAGGGCTGTCAGAAATATTGTTTCTATGTCATCAGGACAAATATGATAGTCTGGGTGGCCAAATGAAAGGATATCAGTGTGCAAAACAAAGAGTTATGAGATCTGGTTTTTATATTCTTGGTGATTTTGAGGGTGAGACATCCAACTCCAGCGCTCTCCTCCACTAACTGTACTTCCAAAAGACACCTCATCCATTCTAGCAGAAAGCAGGTCCCCAAACTCTTTCTTCAGCAATCCAAGAGGAGTATAAAGGTGATCATGATGTTTAAGAGGAAAATAGCAGCACACGTAGCTTTGTGATGCATCGCCAAGGGCTTCCTAAATGCCAGGTTCAGAGCTGTGTTTCACACAGCTTGGCTCATCTCAGAGTCTCTGCAGAGCCTTTCTTTAGTTACATGTGTTCACATTATTATGTAGAAAATAAAAGAATATTATATTTATGAAAATCTTCCCAGGTTGTTAGGCAGAGATGAGTAAATCTGTTTGATTGAGGTAGTCTAAATATGGACACCAGGCTTCTGGGCAGGAGAACCCCAGCAGGCTGTTTCCTTGACAACCTAATCTGCCATTTCCACTCCTATCACTCCAGAAGTGACCCTTTTCTCACTCTGCTTTTCATTGTGGGTGTTCCCAGAAGATCAAAGAGAGAGCAGTTGACATGAAAGCAACATCCAACATGGGAAGAATAGATCAAGGGCAGAGATCACAGGAAACAGGGGCACATAAAAATTCAACACAGACCCCTCCCCACTGCAGGACACTCTGAAGCCCTCTCTATCCTCCTTGCTACTGGCCCACTCAGTCTCAAAGGAGTCAATGCCACCTCTTGGTTTCATTCCTACACAAGAAACTGGAGAGTTTTAAAGGGTTCTCCAGATGTACTGGTGGTCAGGGTCCTGGACCTCTGCTTAAAACTTTCTGATAATTGGGAAATAAGGGACAAGATTACTGCATCACACCAATACAATGACTGCTGAATTTTTTTTTTACATTATTATATTTATACTATAACTATTATTATAGTTATTATTTGGATGTTAAATTTTTGAGTTATACATAATAGTGGAATACTCTGTGACTATTCATGCATGTGCAAAACAAAATTTGGTCCATTTCTTTCCCCGGGACCTCTCCTATCTCTTTCCTTCTCCTTACCCCTGATCCTATTTCTTTACTTTAGTGGTCTTATTACTAATTTTTTTAATTGGTGCATTTTAATTCTACCCCAAAGTGGGATTCACTAGGGTGCATTTGTACATGCACTTAGCATCATTTGGTCAGTTTCATTACCCAGGATTCTGCTTTCCCTCCTTCCTCTGCCACCTTTGAGCCCTGTCCTCTATTCCACTGTCCTCCCTTCTGTTTTCCTGAGGCCCATTTTTATTTATTTATTTTTTCTCCAGCTTCCACATATGAGAAAAGACATTTGATCCTTGGCTTTTTGAGTCTCTTATTTCATGTAGCATGAAGTTCTTGTTTCACCAATTTACCAGCAAATTACATAATTTGTTTCTTTGTATGACTGAATAAACCTCCATTGTGTGTATTTACCACATTTTCTTTATCCATTCATCTCCCGATGGACACCCTGTCTGGTTCCATAATGTGGCCATTGCAAATCTCACTGGTACCAACACTGTTGTGCCTGTGTCCCTATTGTACGCTGATTTTAGTTCTTTTGTGTAAATACCAAGGAATGGGATTGCTGGTTTACATGGTGTTTCCAATCCTACTCTTTTGGAAAATCTCCACTCTGTTTTCCATGGTCGATGTTCTAACTTGCAATCCCTGCCTGCTCTCCAGCCTTCATTATTATTTGTGCTCTTGATGATTACTATTCTAACTGGAGGGAGGTGAAATCTCAATGTAGTATTTATTGGCATTTCCCTGATTGCTAAGGATGTGGAGCATTTTCTTCACATATTTGTTGGCCACCTGTATTTGTTTTTTGTTTTTAGAAATGTGTATTTAGTTCATTTGTCCATTTATCTATTGGGATATTTGAGGGATTTGGATGTTAAATTTTTGAGTTATTTATGTATTCTGGATATTAATGTTCTGTCATAAGAGAAGATGACAAAGATTTTTCTCCCATTCTATGGGGGCTCTGTCTTCCCCTTGATTGTTTAATTTTGATCACTATCTATTGAATTTGTAATTTATTCTCAGAGGGGAAGGTTGTTAGTATTTCTGAGACAACATTGTCATCTGAGTTGATCTACTGGTGATGTAACTGCATTGAATTAGTAATAAAGAGATAATAGATGCTCCCATGTGAGTAGCATGTGATGAATGTATTAGATAATGCAAAATAATATTTAGATATTATTATTTATACTAATTATTAATTATAAGGGTAATCTTCCTACCACTCAACCAAAATATGCTGTTGTCTGAGGTTACTATTCTCCAATTTCTGTTTTGAGACAGAATTTATATTTGGTAATCATATGCCAGATATTTGGACAAGAATGACTAGCTCTCTTCACCTCTGATTCTCTATTCTACCTTGCATGGCATAGAGGAAGTATAAAAAAAATATCAGAGGGCTGGGGTTTTGGCTCAGTTGTCGAGTGCTTGCCTAGCGTGTGGAATTTTACAGATATATTACACACGTTCTGTATATAGTGGCAACTCCAAGATCCAGAACTAAAATTTTCATTTTCTAACTTGTGCTCCAGGCTCCTATCTCCTCTACTAGTGAAAAATGGAAATGTTATTCCCAATGCATTAAGAAATGTCTTCATGAGTTCTTGTGGAAGATTATCACAAAGCAGAATGCAGGGATATTTTTGATAGTATAACTGAAGAATATAATGATGTAATTGATAATAACCGATTTGATCACAGTATCAAATGTAGATAATTTATATTAAAATTGAACATGCATCAATTATTGGAGGTCAAACAACTATCTCCCGTAAACATGGCACATAGGAATTCTAACTTGTGTTATACAGACAGAGTCACAGGAAGTTTAAAAGGATTGTTGTCACAATAAACTGACATACTAAATGACATCCTTTACCTGGGTAATGCTGTGTAAAATACAAAGCTTTTGAGGTCACCATATGTATTATACAAGGAGATATAAAACCACATGTCAATGGACACTAGTGTATTTGAGGGACAATAGGTGTTACTACTTAGATGAACTTTAGAAACTGTAAGGTAAGTTTGAAAGAAAAATATCCATATATAAAGCTAAATCAATACTTCTAAGGTAACATTGAGAGGAAAATAAATGAACCAAATTGTTTCTGGGGACAGGTACACAAGAGAATGGAACCATGCAGAGATACCAAGAACTCAAATGTCTAGAGGATAATTCACATCTTCACAAAGTAGGAGTTTTACTCAAATATTAAAGTTTTACATATTCTTGCGAGTAGTAGTATTATCAGTGGTGACTAATATTAATGGACCATTGTTTTAATGCCAGGGAATACTCAGAGGCAGATGTTGTTAACTCTGGTGTAAGAAATGACCATCAAGAACCAGGTGTGGTGGCGCACTCCTGTAATCCCAGCAGCTTAGTAAGTTGAGACAGGAGGATTGAAAATTCAAAGCCAGCCTCAGCTAAAAGTGAGGCACTAAGCAACTCAGTGATATCCTGTCTTTAAATAAAATACAAAATAGTGCTCAGGTTCAGTGGTCAAATGCCCCTGAGTTCAATCCCTGGTTCCCCCACCCCCAGGAGGAGGAGGAGGAGAAGAAGAATATGAATGAG